GGTGGGTCAGTCAGCAAACATGGCGACTGAGGCGCCTGAGTGAGTGAGTTGCAGGGATGTACCTGTCTGTATGTCTGTCTGTCTGTCTGTCTGTGTGTCAGTTGTATGAAGGCTTACAGTCCCGATGTGGATTCGTCATATTGGCGCAAAGTGGGGTGTGGCGACCCACGTGAGGGACCCAACTCGTGGAAGGAGGCCTATGGCGTGCCGGAATGCGACACACTCAGATGCGTCAACGGCATCTGGACGCCACCTTCATTCAATTGCAGAGGTACGCGGGCACACCACAGCACAGCACAGCAGAGCACAGCAGCCTCATCTCTCTCTGTGTGCACACCTGTCTGTGTATGTGTGTCTGTGTGTGTGTGTGTGTGTGTGTCTCGGTGTCTCATCAGCTGACTGTCCGAATCCGTTCAAGAAGGAGCGGCCAATGGGAGTGACGTTTGTCGACATTACCCAGGACAAACCCTACTACCATGAGGGGGAACAGATACACATCACATGCAAACGTACCCCACGCCGAAACAGACAGACCTCTAAAGGCATCGGCCGACCCATGACTTGACTGTGAGCATCATGTCTCTCTGTGGGGTGTGTGTGTATGTGTGTGTGTGATGGGTGCACTGCAGTGGGCGACAATCCATTTGTGAGCTACACGGCCATCTCCCCCGCCCGCCCCTCAGCCGTCGAGACACTCACGTGTGACGACGGCTACTTCCCATACCTCGCTCTGAGATGCCGCAGTAAGCCTGCACACAAAGTCCCTTCCTCTGTCCATAGTCCTTGTGCCATTCATTAATGCGCCCGCCCATACCTTCAGGGCGTTGTGAGCCATACGTGTCCCCGTATGGGTCAGCGGGTCATGTGGTGACGCACACGCGTCCAGCGTCCGACACCAACGTGGACGATATAGCGCGTGCCTACCAGGACCGGCCGAGTGAGATGGAGTCTCAGCTGCATGCAGTGCTGGTGCACTTCAACCACAAGTCACGGAGGTACATCGAGTGCGCCGAGCGGTGGAGCGACCCCGACTGGCACGGCAGCCAGGGAGACCTCGTCGAGTGCCAGGAGGGCAAGTGGACCAGACAGGAAATTCGATGCAGAAGTGAGTACGGACGGCATCGAATAAATGAGATGGATCATCTCACCACCAACACCCATACCGTCCCCGCGTCGCGTGTCCCTCCTCCCTGTGTGTCAGAGCAATGCCCGTCCGTGGCCTTCTACAGCCTCGACCCCACTCGCTATAAGGTCACCTACGTGGGCCGCGATCAAGTAGAGGAGGCCATGGCGGCCAGGCCCCTGCCCCCCTCGGCTACTCCCCCCCTGTACCCCTCCCACCCCCTCGGGGATGTCCTGGTGCGGGATCCCAGCAACTAGTATGACGACGGTGACCAGGTCAATGTCGAGTGTGTCAATAGCGACTATGCCGGGGAGATTGAGAAGATGGAGGCTGACGGGCTGCTCGAGTACCCCTTCTGCACCAAGGAGAACAAGATTTGCATTGTCCGCTGCACAGCCGGCACCTGGACCGAGCTTGGGGTGGCATGCTTCGGTCAGTGAGCGAGACACAGAGAGATAGCGACTGTGTGTGTGTACGTTTGTATTGTGGAGGCGTGCATGTGTGTGTGCAGCACGGTGCCCAGTGTTCGTGCCGCCTCAGAGCGACCGAATGGAGTGCGACCCGCCGATGTTCTGCAAAGACCCCAAAGACCTCACCGAGGTAAGTAGTGAGTATCCATCCCCAAGTAAATTGGTATGTCTCACTGTGTGTGTCTTCTCTCTGTGTGTGTGTAGGATGAGCGAGTGAGCCGCTACTACGTGGCGCCCGACAATGACACTGACGCCGCCGGGGCCACCACCACCACCGCCAGTAGCACCACCAATGTGTTCCGTCACGGGTCTGCGTTGCGGCTGTCGTGCAAGAAAGAGTACCAGCCTCACCCCTGGCCGCAGGAGGAGGAAATCAAGTGCCGCGACGGGCGCTGGTCCATCCCCACACTCGAATGCTACAGTAAGCTAAGCAGACCCTGATCTTCCCCATACAGACAGACAAGGATGGGGGCATGGATGCGTGTGGATCCCCCCTCGTATGTCCATCAGCACCGTGTCGCGAGGAGCTGGATCTGGGCAAGATGCGCCCTTACGAAGATGTTCAGTTGTATCAGACGGCGGAGGCGAGCGACAACCCCGTGACGGAGGCCGAGCAGTACCAGTCGCTCAAGACGGAGTACAAGGCCCTCCCCAGCGACCCACACAGTGTGCGGTCGTCCACAGACAAGGACAAGCTGCCGGTGCCTGACAAGAGCGAGAGCAAGGCCCTCTACATGCACGGCTTCCGCTACGTGGTGCGATGCAACCCCGAGTCAGACGCCACCGCCATCATCAAGCAGCCCTATGACTTCGCCACTTGCTGGGACGGAGAGTGGACGGACACTTCAATCATGTGCAGAAGTAAGTGGGGGAGGGGGGGATGTCTTCCTTCCTCAGGCACGCGCCTTCTGTCTGTGTGAGCATGAGTGGGTTTGTCATGTGCGTCTCTGCAGAGAGCTGTGGCGACCCTTACAAGGTGTTCGCAGCGATCCACGAGGTGACGTCCAACTATGTGATCGAGACGAGCGGCACGACCCACAACAGCATCGCACACGTCACCTGCGCCGACGGATTCAGCCCGGCGGCCGGCAGAGAGCCGGAGAGGATCGAGTGCAACGACGGACAGTGGTGGACACCCACACTCAGATGCAACCGTACGTAAGGCCACAGGCAGATGCACACTCACAGACACGCAGACTGAGTACATACATAATCTCGGTGCCTTGGTTGACGTCTTAATTAATGACAGGTAACTGTCCCGAGTATTACGAGTATGCGAAGGATGCCGACCCTGACGTGTTAGACGACACGCGGTACGTCAAGCAGGGCTACTCTGGCAACACCAACGCTGGCAGCTCCTTCAATCTCACCTGCGGACCGTTCCACACAGCGGTGAGCTGAGCTGCGATTGATTGATTGCACGCAGCCGCCCACGCATACAGCTGGTATGTATGTATGTGCCGCCTCCCTACCTCCCACCCCACCTACCCACCCACAGGGTCAGCTGGACAATCTCCCCGGTGGGCATCGCGGTCCCAAAGTCCGGCAGGAGATCACATGCCTCGACGGCAAGTGGACGGCGCGGCTCCTACACTGCTTCCGTAACCACACACACAGACACGCAGGCACACACATACATACACGGCCATGTAATGTACGTGGCTGGCCCTATCTATATCTATGTCTATCTTGCCTCCCTTGTCACTCACTCATTCCCTCACCGCCTGCCCTGCAGACAACTGCCCCGAGTTCGCCCCTGAGAACCCCCTGGACACGGACACCCTTTTCGGCTCGGGCTACATAGTGGAGGGGGTGGAGGTGAGAGACGTGAGGGACGACCAGCGGTTCAGCGCCGAGGGGGAGCTTCACATCCAGCACGGCGCCACGCGCAAGATCAAGTGCTGTGTGGCGGGGCAGAAGCTACGCCAGGGGCCGGACCCAGCCCTCGAGAGCGGCAAGTGCGTGTGGGACTGGGCCACGGAGGATAACATGGAGCCAAGGGAGGCCTCCGTGCAGTGCTCTGACGGACTGTGGACGCGACCTGACATCATGTGCAGACGTAAGTACGCTACGCGAGCAAGATCCTATCCTATTTATCTGTAGCGAGCTGTCAAGTTTCTCTCACCCACACAGAGACAGACAGACACACCATGTAATTATTATATGTAAGTGTGCCCTTTTCTCTCTCTATCTCTCTGTTGCGTTGCTGAACCCGATCCATCTCCCCCCCAGCGATGTGTGAGGCTCTCGGCCCCGAACACGAGCTCTTGTGGCAGGGTTCAGCCAAGTACATGACGAGCAAGAACAAGCCGGGCAAGCTGGAGGGCCGCAAGGGCGAGAGCGGGGCGCAGATGATCTACCCGGGTTACTGGGCCAACATTCGGTGTGCCCCGGGTTACCTGCCGGAGCCCTTCCAAGGTACCGACTTCAGGAGGGACTGGAACAACCGGCCGCAGGCCAGGGCCGTATGCCACAACGGATATTTCACACATGTCCCATTCGAATGCATCAGTCAGTAGGGAGACAGACACTGAGGACGCACAGGCAGACAGACAGACAGACAGACGTACCTGGCTGCATGCCTTGTGTGTGCACACCCTCCTTGATTGCAGAGCAGTGCCCGACTCCCGTGGATCACTGGGAGCCCGACGCGCGTGTGCGTGCGGTGGCGGTGCGGCAGCCCACCAGCAACCCCCCCAAGATCAGCGGGCTGGTGAAGTCCAGCCCTTGGGTGGTGCGGCACGGGCAGTCCTTCTACACCTACTGCTGGAGCGGGTCCAAGGCGGCACCCGGGCGGAAGCAGCGGCTGGAGGGGGACGTCTCCTACTACCAGCGGTGGCGCGGCCAGTGCTATTTTGGATGCAAAACCACCTTCTACAGGCGCAAGTATAAGTGGACCTGGAACCTCAAACACAACTTGATGGACTATAACGCTGCTGGTCGGTGTGTGGGAGGGAGGGAGGGAGGGAGGGAGAGAGGGCGAGAGGGGGGGAGGGAGGGAGGGAGGGAGGGAGAGACACATGCACACAGGCAGGCCCGTGTATGTATGTTTGTGTATATGTGTGTTGGGCGGGTCACTGATGGTTTGATGGGTTCGTTGGTTGGTTGGTTCAGGCGACGCCCCCGACGATATGAAGAAGTATCAGTGTTTCTACGGCAAGTGGGTGGGCAAGGACCCCCCCATGGTCTGTATACAGCTCGTCAGACTTCACGAGATGTGCATCGACGGCGGCACGTCGGTCCATGTAGCGGGCCGGTCCTCGCCAGTGGCCCTTCGGCACGTCAGAGTGGGCGACCGGGTCCTCTCATGGCGGCCGGCAGCACGGGGCGGCAAGGGACAACTCACATATGCCGAGGTCTACTTCAGGCAAAGCTATGGCAAGAAGTGGACATTCACCACGACCATCACGTTCGCCCGGCGGGACGGCAAGGCCCCTCTGCGTCTCTCCCCCACACACAGGCTGCCCATCTGCCGCATGCTCACACGGAGAAAAGCCCGGAATCGGCCAACTTATGATCTGTTGTCGTGGATGATGGGTGGAGGATGGCGACATCGACAATGTGCTGAAATGCTGGCGGGTATGGGTGTAGATGTGTCCTCCAGTGGGTCGTCGACGGTGTCATGGTCTGTGGAGTGGCTGGTGGTTGCTGCTAAGGACGTCCGGCGGGGGGATTGGCTGATGGTCTATGATAAAGGTGGAAACGCCACTCATATGCAGCTGAGCCAAGTGCTGGAGGCCCACACCTCCATTGAGGTACACACACACACACGTCTGGCTGGGCTGGCTGGCAACAGCACGCACAGACCAGACCAGACCATGCCTCCTCCCTCCATTGAGTGATCCATTCATTGTGTGCGGTGCATATGTGTGTGTGTGTCCACCAGCATCGTGCAATGGAGCTGGTATACACCACCACGGGGTATCTCGTTGGCGGGGGTGCGTTGGTCACCGATGCCGACGAGCCACTCGACGAGTACCTCCCGTGGACACAGCTAACCAACCTCGATACACGGCTGGTCTACGCCCTATTTGGCCCCGACGCCGTCCAATCTGACCTTTTCCAGACATTCTGGCGGTCAGCGAGACAACACACACATACACACACACACACACACGTGTGCGCGGAAGACAGCACCGGAGGATTTCTGCTGTGAGTGGTGGTTCTTTGTTTTGTGTTCAGGTCGACGGGCCATTTGTTGACGGGCTTCCAGAGGTATGCGGAGAGGTGGTTTGCTGCCGCTCGCAGCCTGGCCTGGTCATTTTTGCTGCTGCCGCTGAGCTAGCCATGTCATTTTTGCCAGCTAGGGCTTTATCGACTACTGATGTGTGTGGTGTGATTATGTGTGTTGTGACGTCCTATAGGACATTCGTCAGTCACTGTGCGTGTGGGCGTCGTCGTCTGCGTGGCGTGGCACTGCATCGATCGCATCGCACGCTGTGATGGTGTTTGGACATGCGTCTGTCAGTATCATCATGGACATATATTTGTCTCACTCAGTTCATGGATCTCTATGTGTCTGCCTACTGGTGGGATCCCCACCACCTGGCCATGGATGCTCTCGTCCCTGCAGTGCACCCCGGTTCCGCTTGCGCACTCTGCAAGCAACGTCGAGGTGTACTGTACTGCATACCGTACCGACACAGCCAAGTGGGGGAACAAACCAGCGAAGGCACATGAACATCTGACGCACACACACTTGTCAGCTCTGTCCTGTCCGCCCTCCCTCCCTGCTGCTCTGCCTGTCCCTGTCTCTTCTGCGCTCTCGATTCCCCTTCCCACTCCCACTCCCACCACGGTGGCCACCACTGACTATGGCCGCAGACGGCCTCTGTGTCCCTCCTGCTGCTGCTGCTGCTGCTGTTGGTGCTGGTGCTGATGCAGGCGGCGTGGTCAGTTGTTTCGGGTTGGCGCTGTCAGGCCGTGGGGGCATGTCGGAGAGCGGCAGGCGCTGCTCGTCGGCTGACGGCTCGATCTCTGTCGCCTCGTAGAACCAGGGGGAACCTTCCTTCTCAGCCTACATGCAGCCAACGCACACACCACCACACACCTGATTGATTGACTGACTGGCTGGACACGTGTGTGCGCGCGGGTGGGGGTGGGTGTGCGTGTGGACACCTCTTTCCGCTTCTGCGAGGCGATCAGGTTGCTGAGATGGGGGTTGTCCAAGCCGACCTACACCCACACAACACGAGACGCATGCTCACACACCGACCCACACCTACCTTGACAAAGGCCTGAGCGACGCTCTCGAGTTGGTAGGGCGTGAAGCGGTCGACGTGGCGCGAGATGTGCAGCCCGAAGGCCTCGAACAGCTGCCTGTCCGGCAGGTCGAAGTGTGCGAAGGCCTTGAGTACGTCTGCAGCGTCGTGTGCGTTGTAGCCCTTGACGTGGCGCCTGGCGAACACCGACAGGGCCGTCAACAGACGGGTGTCGGGATGGTCCACCTGCAGCCAGCCATGAGAGACCAGAACAGATGATATATTGAGATTGCGGATCTGTGGGTCACTTACTGCAGCATATGCCGTGGCGATCTGCGAGACTGCCCGCGGCGAGAAGCTGCCGCCACCCAGCCGCTTCCGCACCAGCTACACACCACACACAGGAGGAGTGCCTTCGTGTGATTCACGGTAAGGTCGGGCTGCTTACGTCGGCTGCTTTGAGGAAAAGGCCTTTCCTCCACTTGGGTTCTGACTTGAGCCTCGCCGTGGCCAACAGGATCTGGGCCACATCCTCCCCCGTGAAGGTATCCAACCTGCACACAACCAGCCCAGCCACACACACGTGTCACCAGAGAGTGCGTGTGTGGGTGGCTGGATGTGGCATAGCACACACACTTGGCTTGGATGGTGGAGGCGAGTGCGGCCCAGACGTCAGTCATGTGGTCCGTCTGCAGGACGCTGGCCGCCTGCACACACACATAGATAGACATCCCAGGCAGGCAGGCAGGGAGGCAGTGTGTGGTGAGAGATGTCCTCTATCTATAGCTGACTGACCGTGGCGATGTTGCAGACGCTCCTGGGAATGAGTGCATCTCTGTCGAGCAGCACCTTGACCTGACGCATCAACGCCTCAATCAAAGAGGGGGGAGTCGTCACCTTCAGACGCGCCAAAGCTGACGGATCCACACACACAAACACAGACTTTGGTTTCCCCATCCAATCCATATGTGTGTGTTGTGTTGTGGCTGACGCTTAGCTTACCGGTCATGCAGATGGACACATCAGTGGGGATCATGTCTTTGCACATCGTGGGCAGGTGCTGCTCGCACAGCGCCACCATAGTGCTGTTCTTGTGGTGCAGCTTCCCGTAGGCACTCAGCACGCTCGGGAAGAAATTGACGCTCGCCTCACCCCTACACACACACACACACACACACACACGGACAACGGATTCTGGTCTGGTGTGCAGTCCTTTCTTTCTCTATGCCTGTGTCTGTTTGATGTCTTGCCTGTCAGAGAACGTCTTGAACCTCTCAGCGAGTGCGTCGAGCAGCCGGACGTCCTTGACGCCCCAACGGTCGTAGGCAAACGCTTCACACACATCATCATCATCATAGCTGTCTTCCCGTCCCGCGTCATTGATTGGCCAGCTTACTGGTCATAGCGACTTGCTGCTGTGTGAGGTCCGGGGCCACCTGCTCGATCCGCCGCGCAATGACATCGGCAAACTCAATGTCCAGGAAATTCGCACGCCCACACGCATTGCCTGCCACATCCATCCATCCATCCACTCACACAGAGGGGAGGGGCGTCTATATGTGTGTGAGATCTGTGTGTACCGACCGATGTTGACGACATCGATGGTGTTGAGCTGGTCAAAGATGAGCTTGGCGCGGGCAATGAGGGTGTCGAAGAGATGGTCGGGGAAATAACGCAGCCGGGAACAGGCATTCACTGACCACACAACCACCCACCCGCACACGCACACGCACACACACACACACACAGAGACTCTGTCTGTCTGCGTCCGTCCCCCGTTTGTTTGTGTGCAAGTGCGTGTGTGTGTACGTGTGTGTGCGATGTCGCGCCCCGAGGCCCTGTCTGCCATGGCGATGGACTCCTGCGTCAACAGGTCCAGCAGCTTCTCGTGACGGTACTCAGCCTACCTCCGCAGTAGACGCCACACACATCACACCCATCACATCACGTGCCGCATTCACCCAACACATGAAGGATAGATAGCTTGTTGGCTGGCTCTGGCTCATTCATCTATGCTATGGACCCCCCACGTACCTAACCTACCTGTGCCAGAGCGTTGAATATGAGGGCGATGTCCCACGCGTCGGCGTCAACCAGATACTGACCACAGACAGCAACACACACAGCTCTGGCCAACTGCATGCACACCCTCCATTCTGTCTGCCTGCCTGCCTGCCTGCCCCACTCACCGGTGCGGTTTTGTCGCAGAATTCGCTCCACCACCGTCTGTCGCCAAACTTGACTTTCGCGGCGTGGTTGGCGACCATTGCGATCTCGGTGGCCCGGAGGATGGGCAGGAGCGACAGCGCCACCCAGGCATGCGCCTTGACCTTGTCAGCCTCGCCCCTCTCGTGGATGGCGTGGAACTCCTTGGCCCAGTAACTCACCTCACTCGGCGGCGGCACCTGCAGTGACGACTGATCTTCTTGTTGGGGGACATGCTGACGGGCTGCGGGGGAGTTTGGTGGACGGGCGGCTGCCGGTGCATCTGCTGCAGTGGCTGCCTGGCCGGCTGCGTGGCTCAGTGAGCGGATGTGGCCTCTCCTGTGGTGTTTGGGAGGCGGCAGGGGGAGGGATGAAAGGGAACTTCGCACACAGCGAGGCATCCAAGTCGCCATGCTGCTCGATGAGCCAGAGGCGGTCTCTCAAGGCATCCAGGCGGGGAGATCTGCGAGCTCTCAGCTCGCAAGGATAAGGGGAGCTGTGACGGGCTCGTTTGGAAGCGATTGGGGTACCTGACACGCCCTTGGCCTGTTGGGCTAACCAGAACTCCTTTACTCGACCAATTGATTCATCGTTACTCATCGATGGAGCCCGACGGCACTTCTCTGGCCCGCACGGTATCCCACCACCCCACCTACCCCCCTCCCCGCCCTCCCAACCAGGACACCGTAAGCCGTGCGGCGCCGCAAGCGCCTCAGAACGAGCGATCCCAGAGCAACATCAGCCAGATCAGCGAGGCATTAAGGGACGAGAACTTCTTCAACTTCACCGACGGGAGCTTCGTGTGGACCTTTGGGGATAACTACTGCGGCCAAGTGCTCAATGAGGGGACAGGTGCGGTGCCAGTGGCATGTGGCAGTTTCGATGGACGGATGGACGGATGGACGGATGTGTGTCTGTGTGTGTGTTAAGAGCCGGTTCGGCAGCCTGTGTTGCTGACCAAGCTACGGAAGCAGCGGATACTCAAGGTGGCGTGCGGCTTCGAAACCACATGGATCATCGGCGACAACGGAGGTACGCCACCCAACCGACGCGCCAACCGACCAAGGCACTCTCCCTCTCTGCGTGCCTGTGTTGGCCTGTTGTGTGTGTGTGTGTGTGTGTGGTTCAGATGTGTGGGCAGGCGGCAGCAACGACAGCGGTCAGGTGACGGGTCTGATGGATGACGAATACGACATGGCCGAGCAGGACGAGGCCATGCAACCAACAGAGGGACCACCCACTGGAGAGAACGACAACAAGCGGCCCAGGTCCGCACCCACAACGTCGCGGGGCGCACCCGACTCCATCAATCACGCCAAGCGGCTCGAGCTTAGGGTGGGTGGGCAATGGGCAGGCAACGAATTGGAGTGAGCCCGTGTGATTGAGAGGTGTGATGGTCTGTGTGTTGTGGCCCGCCTATCTGTCAGGAGAATCAGAAGGTGCGGACGTTGCAGAGTGGGCGGGACCACACCGTGGCCGTGCTCGACTCGGGAGGTACACATGCGTGCCGACACTCCAACAAATGCATCCTGAGATGAGATGGCACGTGCCGTCGTCCTTGTTCCATCCAGTCGCCCTGTCTTTTGGCTCCAACGAGTTCGGCCAGCTGGGTCACGGCACGCCGCCCAGCATACAAAGGTCCGTCAATGGCCGACACGTACACACCATGACTGTACACTCTGATGGATGGACCGATCGACCTGTGTGTGTTGCATCCATGTGTAGGTGCAAGGCTGGAGTGATGCGTGTGTCGCCTGGTTCAAAGGTGCAGTCGGTGGCATGTGGCCAGGGCTTCACCATTGTGCTGATGGCGACGGGGCAGCTGCTGAGCTGCGGCGACGGGGGCCAAGGATGCCTCGGACACGGAAGCCTCGAAAGCAGGTACGTCACGATGACCACATGCAGAGAGAGATGTGCTTGTCTAAGTCTCTTACCTCCCACCCCACAGGAGCGCCCTTGGTCCGATTCCTACATTGATGGGCATGCCGATGAACCAGGTGGCGTGTGGCGTCAACCACTGCATGGCGCTGAGCATCACTGGGGAGGCCTATGGGTGGGGGAAATGCCGAGACGGACAGCTGGGCCTGGGCGACACTGTCAGCGACGACAAGAAGCTCGTGCCGTGCCGGGTGCCGATCGAAAGGGCCAAGTACGTCGCCTGTGGGGGCGCTCACAGCGCCATTATCGCGCGCAAAGGACGGTGAGCGAAAGAGACAAGGGCAGAGGGTTGCTGTGTCTACTTTCTTTTCATGAGCCCCTCTCTCTCTGTTGGCTGCCGTGAAGGCTTCTGATGACGGGCAGCAACAAGTACGGCCAGCTCGGTGCACCAACAGGTTGGTACATACCTCCCTCCCTCCCTCCCTCCTTACACAAGCACACCACCCGAAGGAACGAAGCACCATCCTCCCTCCCTCCCTCCCTGTCTGTGTCTGTGTCTGTGTGCAGGTTTGGTTGAGGACCGTCGCGAGTTCGCCCCTGTAGAGGCGTTGGCTGAGATGAAGATCCGCATTGCCCAGCTGGGGCTGCGGCACACACTCTGCATCACCTACATGGGCACACTGCTGGCATTCGGATGCAACCAACACGGGCAACTCGGCATCGGTCTGACAGACAGACAGACAGACAGACAGACACGAAAAGAGAAAAGACCAATCAATTCAGCTCTCTGCTATGCCATCCGTTGCTGCGTGTGTGTGGCCTACAGGTTCTGATGAAGCGTTGGTGTGTCAGCCGACGGAGATCACATTCAAAGGTACCTAGCCCTCCCACCGACGGACGGGTCATGCGTCCGTCGTCTCGGATGAGGATCTCTCCTCCCCTCTCTGTGCTGTGCGAAGATGTGCCCCACCAGCGGCAGTTCTTCTTCTCCCTCTCGTCGGGTCAGGACCATGCCATCGCCGTCGCAACCAGCGACCCGCCGCTGCGCGTCAAAAAGGGTGGGTACACACACGCACACACACACACACACACAGAGAGAGAGAGGGCATCTGGGCAGCAGCAGACATGTGTGATGCGATGTGATGTGTAAGTTAGGTTCGGGTACACGTGAGATCGACGAGTGGTTGGCCAAGGAGAGGAGCATGATCCGCACTTTCTCCGACTACCGCAACGAGAAGGGCCTGCGGCTGTCGGACTTCCCCCGATACGTTTCCTCAGACCTCTCACCCATGAGGAAGGTCAGACAGACAGACAGACAAACAGACAGACAGACAGACAGACAGACAACCAGTCGCCGACCAAGGCACGGCACAGAGGAACAACACAAACACGTATCGGTTGTGTGCAGGCACTGAGGGCGTTCGCGTCGAGCGTCGAGTCTGGCACTGGTGGGTGGCTGGCTCGGGGCATCCATATTATAAACGTTTGTGTGGATCCACCTACCTACCTATCTCTGTGTGTGTGTGTGCAGGTGTGACGGCTCAGGAGCTGCGAGAGGTCATCGACGCCCACTCCCTTGACATCATCCCACTCAAACACCAACTCCACGTCATCCTCGTAATCATAACACACCCACACCACACCCACACCCCCAAGCACGCCGCCACCTGCCTGCAGTGTGCAGTGCACTCACTCTCCCGCCCCTCTGTCGTGTCCCAGGCCGATGTGCACACGATGAACGCCTCATTCCTTGTCGGAGGTCAGTGAGCATACACACAGACAGACACACACACAGGCAGAAACGACGCAGTAGCTAAAGAGCACCAGTCGATGTGTGTCTTGTTTGTGCACAGTGAAGCGAAAGCTGTTTGACGCTGAGGGTCTGGAGAGCGCCTACAGACAGCTGTTCGCACTCTCGCAGATCGCCGACATCATTCCAGAACTCATCTCGCACTTCGAAAAGGCACAAAACACAACAGAACGCAATCATACTCAACAGACACATGGATGGATGGATGGATGGCTGCAGTGTCTGATGTCGGTGGCCACCTACGAGAAGGAGCTCCGCACCAGCGACCAACTCCGCTTCATCATGGAAAGCAACCCAAGAGAGAGAGAGAGAGAGAGGCAAAACGACCGAGCCATCCAGAAACACGCCCCGTGTGTTATGTGTGTGTGTGCGCGCGGATGTCTGCAGATCATTCTGCAGTGTCCGCTGTTTTCGGTGCCGACGAGCCTGACAGTGCCGCTGATGGCCAAGCTGGCCGAGGTGACGTTCAAGCTCAGCCAGAGGGGCAAGGAGACACTCGTGCGCATGGCCAAGGAAGACACCACGGTCAGTCTGTGCACCCACTGACTTAGGGAGGGAGGGAGCGAGGGAGGGGGAGGGACAGAGAGCGGGCTTGGCACACATGAATGTCATCCTCTCCGTGTTGTGTGGTGTTTTGATTTGTTCAGCCTGAGGTGTTTGGTGGTCGTCTGGTGGCCCACGTGGTGGCGTACCTCAACCACCAGATCGAGCACCACACACCCCACTACAGGCAGCTCGAGCGAATCTGGTATGTATACGTGGAACGAAGAGACAGATACCTACGGATGGACATCAATCACATCTGCGCTCCATCCACTCACTCCACGTGGGTGTCTGTCGTTTGCGTGTGGTGTGCATGTCATGTGTGGCCACCTAGGCATGCGGTGCATCTGCTTCAGCTCTTGTACTTGGCCAATTGGGAGTGCGCCAAGGAGAGAAAGGTCGACGAAAACGGAGGTAGGTGAGGTCAGTCAGTCAGTGCATCCCTCCCTCGCCGACAGGCCCGACAGACAGACCCAACACACCACCACACCACACACATCACATAGCTCAGTCAGCTCGCCTCCCTATGTTATGTTTCCCTTTGTGTGTGCAGCGTCTCGTGACTTCCGCATTCCGCTGCAGCGGTTCCACCTGGACGGCATCACGCGCTTCATCGACGTGGTGTCTGAGTGCAAGATGTTCTACGAACTGTTCCGCGACCCCAAGCACCAGGACCAGGAGGGCCACCGGCTGGCCTGGCGGCCCCAACAGGTCCTCACCGTCTCGCAGCTCAACCACTCCAACACCTTCTTCCTGGCGCACCACAACCTCTGCCCCTTGCCGTACAAGCGGAAGGCGCTGCGGGTGGAGGCCGGGCGATATCAGGAGGAGTACATGGTGCGGTCGCTCATACAGATGGAGATTCCCTACTTCGTCGTCACCGTGCAGAGAGACAACCTCCTCAACGTACAGACAGGCGGCAGACGCCCACACACACACACACGTGTGTGCAGTAGAGTGACGGTGCGAGTGTGTGTCGTGTCGTTGTGTGCAGACGGCTTTGGCGCGCATAATGAGCGTGGCTCAGGGTTCGCCCCACGAGTTCATCAAGCCGCTCAAGATCAAGTTTGAGAACGAGGAGGGCGTCGACGAGGGCGGCGTGCTGCGCGAGTTCTACCGGCTCATCACCCAGGAGGTCCTCAACCCGGACTTCGGCATGTTCGTATACAACGAACAGATACGCACCATCTGGTTCAACAGGTCAGACAGACAACCCAACACACTTTCGCGCCGCGCCGCGCCGCACGGGGGAGGGCACCCTTATCTATGTATCTGTTGGGCTGGTGTTGGTGTGCCCGTGTGCTGGCTGTATGGGTGCAGGTTGTCTCTTGACGACAACCTGTCGATGTTTGCCTTTGTCGGCATCCTCCTGGGGCTGGCGCTATACAACAGTGAGTGCAGTGAGCCACATGACACAGACGGAAGGAACACCTGACATGACTGACACACAACACACTCCCTCAGCACACTCACTGCAGTCATCCAAGAGTGCGTGGCTGTCCCCGTCTGTTTGTGTCCCCCGCATATATATCAGATGTGTTGTTGGAGCTGCCCTTCCCTCTCGCCCTCTACAAGCTGCTGCAGCACGAACCCATCGGTACGTGCCCTTTGAGACACACACTGCGGCGGCGCACGAGACCGCCACACCCATGGTCGTCCCATCGATGGGTGTTCTATCTGAGTCGCTCAGGTCTTGAGGACTTGGCGGATACCTTCCCCGACCAGGCGCACAGCTTCGTGAGCGGACCTGATTGATTGCAGCCATGGGGAAAGAAAGAGAGTGTGTGACTGACTTGTGTGCACTGCACGTTTGTGTGTGTCTGTAATGGTATGGTTGCAGCAACAAATACTCGACCACCAGCCGGGCGAGGAGGTGAGCAAACGCACGCAGAGAGTATAAGGCCAGGGAAGGCCAGGCTAGGGAGGCCAGGAAGGTCGAGCCAGCCGGGGAGAGTTGCGAGCTAGTCAAAACTCCCCCGGGAGGGCTTGAACCTCCGACCTTGCGGTTAACAGCCGCACGCTCTAACCAACTGAGCTACGGAGGATGCATATTGGTAGGTGGACACCTCCCAGTACATCCCTGTGTTTGTTCTCTTCGTTGCCGGCGTTCGTGTCAGTTTGACGCGGCGTTTGGTGAGCTGCCATTCGAGGTGACGTTCGATTACTTCGGCGAGACCAAGGTGAGCGCAAGGCAGGCAGGCCAATCGATGGGCAATGAGCAGCAGGACGGCGATGGGTAGATCTGTCTTTCTCTGACTGTGTGTGTGTGTGTGTGTTGTGTGTCAGACTGTGGAGCTGACAGAGGGCGGGTCTGAGAAGACACTCACATACGACAACAGACAGGTCACACACAGACACGGACACGCACACAGACAGGCAGACAGACAGACAGACTGACACATTCGGCCACGCAATTGTCTGTCTGCTTTGACTGACTGTCTTGTTCTGTCTGTCTGTCTGTGCACAGGATTATGTGGAGCTCTACACTCGTTACCTGTTGGTGGACAGCGTCAAGGAGCCCATCGAGCGCTTCTGCAAGGGATTCAGGGGCGCCGCCCATTCGGAGCTCATCACTGTCGTCACGCCCAGCGAGCTGCAGCTCCTGATGTGCGGGACGCCGCAGCTGGACTTTGAGGAGCTGAGGAAGGGTGCACGCTACGACGGCGGCTACACTCCCGACCACCCATACATCAACACCTTCTGGCAAATCCTCATGGTATGCATGTCAGCTCAGCGCAGCGCACCCCACACTGTGACACTGCCGTCCGGTCCGGTGTGATGTGATGCTGGGTTGCCATGGTTGGTGATGTGTGGCTGCAGAGTTTTGATCAGGAGCACAAGCGCAAGTTCCTGATCTTCTGCACCGGCAGCGACCGAGCGCCGCTGGGCGGCCTCGAGGATCTGAGATTGCTCATACAGCGCAACGGCACTGAGCCGACGGTGCGGCTGCCGACGGCATACACGTGTTACAACGCCCTGCTGCTGCCCGAGTACGCTGACGGCGACAAACTGCAGAAGCTGCTCGTGCAGGCAATCGAGCAGGCCGAGGGATTCGGACTCAGATAGATAGAACGAGGCAGGCAGACATTTGGGGAGGCCGGTTGGTTGGTTGGCGTATGTATTTGTGAGGGGTGTGGTGTGCGCTGCGCGTTTTTTGTCGCGTGTGTCGCTGGATGTGATGTGGGCTGCTGCTTCCGTGCCTCCATACCTACCCTACCTACCTGGCTGGCTGCAGTCACTGGTGTGTGCAGACCAGACCCCGACCGACTGGCATCCATGTGTGATGCTGGCTGCGTTTGTGTGAACGTGTGTTGAGTGAATCGAATGCATCCATCGCACACTTGCGAGGGAGGTGCCAGTTAGTCTGCCTGTCTAGTATACAGAGGGATTCATTCAGTCATGGCAGTTGGCTGCCACACACGCATGTATACCATCACCATACCCATCCCTGTCGGCCCTCGCTCATGCGGGCGTCAGGTCATCACTCACTGCCGCCCGCCGTCACGTGGACGCTGCCCTGATTACATGCGTGGCACGACGCATGGACAAGGCACGAGAGTAGACACAAGCTTGCGTGAGTCGCAGCCATCATCTCTCTCTAGACGCAGTTGTCTTGTCTGTCGATCTGTCTGTCTGCAGTGTATCAGTCAGTATGAGGTGTCGCGCTTGCCGGTTTCGCCCCAGATGCCCCACTTGTACCCCCATGGGAAACACGACACCACAAAGTGCATCAAGAAGCCCGGCCACACCCACCGCACCCACGATATCGCACCGCCAGCAGACATCAAAGGCTTCTGATACCTGATTGTTGCAACACACAACACACCACACCACACGCCATCCATCCCTCTCCCTCTCCCTCTCTCTGCCCACCCCACCCTGTGTTGTGTGTGCATGGCTGTAGGGGCGTACCAGAGGTCTTCGTGCCGGATGACCTCGCCCCCTTCGCTCACGTCGAGGTACACATAGCTCGGCAGCACGATCTCCCAGTCCTTGAACGGCCCCTGCGGCTTGTACTTCTGCACCACGTCGATAACAATGCCGTTGGGGAAGCTCGTCGGCTCGAACTTGAGCGTCTCGACTGTGCAGGTCTTGCGCAGCAGTAGGAAGAGCGACATGATGGCCTCCTTGCCGCGCATGGCCACGCTGGGGTCGTCGAACCAGGCGTCATACCGGTAGATGCTGAAGGCCGGGTCCATGCGCGTCAACGCAAACCGCAGCGAGTAGATGCGCCGGATCTTGTCGACGATCTCCCGGTGGTGGTCCATCACGACGCCCCGCTGCGGCTTGACGTTGCTGCCCGGCGAGTAGACATGCTTGTAGGGCACCCCAGTGGTCGTCTGGCTGAGGTCGGCGTCGTCACTGTCGGCGCCGGATGGGACGTCGTCGAGGACGTTCCATCGCCTGCTGAAGGGCATGAAGGGGTAGGCGAGGCTGGCGCCCCAGACGGCCACGACGCCGGCGAAGCAGGGGTAGACGTAGTCCATAAACAGGCCCGCCGCAATGCGGTCCGTCGGGTGAATGGGGCGGCGCATGGCAAGGCACCAGACTGCTCATCAAAGATCAGACTCAGGAAAGCATCACGCAGCGCTTCTCTTATCGTTTTGAGCAATCTCCCCTCCCCTGTGCGAGCTTAGAATGGCGAGCTCGGGAAAAACGGCCTGGGGCACGAATCACAGGGGCCTGCAGCTCAATTTGCTGCAGCTCTTCTCCCTGTGTCACCTTCTCCGACGTCTTCTCCGTTGAGTGAAGGCGCAGTGACCCCCAAAGTGCGCCTTCGTTCGCCTGTCCTGCCTCCAGTACGCAGCAAAGAAAGAACGGAGACCTTTGCATGCAATTTGACGGCTTCTGTGTGTCTGCTGTGTCTGCGTCATGCAGGCCTGCCTGGATGGCCGCCGAGAGGCCGCCCCGTGGGCGGCCGAGGGAGTGGCCCCGAGGCGTGACCCATCTGCACGGCACCTGGATGACCACAGACGGCATTCAGGCACTCGAAGCATGCGTCAGCCCCAGCACCAGGAAGGCATCCTGGAAATCAAAAGGGAAGCTACTCGCGGCGGCCAACAGCGGCAGGGCGGCCACCGTGGCTGCCGACAAGGCAACCAAGATCAACGCGCCCCTCAGCAAGCGGCGTGTCAACGGCCTTGACTACTACGGTGTGTCGTTCCCATTGCCGGCCTCGCAGCGGCGGAATATCATGAATAGCATCGAGCTGACGCCCTACACGGGAGTGGACGCACACCATCTCAAGGAACAGATTGCCGACGCCCTCACCAGCGACTCGTCCTGCAACTACACGCGCGTCGAGAGGATCAGGGACCCCCACCATCCCGCATACACCTCCGATACGCCATCCTATCGGGCGGTGCTGTGCTTGCCTAGGCAGCAGGAGCGCATCGGGGCGAACTGTATGGTGGGGATGCCCTACGGTGGCTTGCTGAGGACTGAGGAGGAGTGTGAGAAGCTGAAGGAGGCCGACCGGCTGTCATGGCGGTATGTGTATCGGCTGGAGGAGCCCTGTGAGGGGTTTGTCATCGACGGACTGGACGCCCGCAACGCTGCAGGTCAGGTCCCTACCATACCCCACAGACACGCATGACGGTGTTGTTCGTATGGGTCTTTCTTTCTGATTGCGCAGGGTGCATCAACGATCCTCATTTCTTCATCAAAGACCGTGACTCCAACGTGTACTCAGTACGTGCAAAGCAATGTCGATTATACTCCTGCTGCGCACATCAATTGGAGGAGTGGAAATCTCGTTTGACTCGTCAGCAACCCCTGAGCATTTGGGGCATTCCGTATGTCTTCATCCTCACCGAGCGGCCGATCAGCGACGGGGAAGAGTTGCTCCTCGACTACGGTGAGGAGTACTGGATAGAGCTCAGCCAGGCACACGCCAAGACAGCCACCGAGCTGAGGAAGGAGGTACGAACCGGGCCGTGGTGGGCGGGGGACTTGATTGACGTAACCAAGGGGCCACAATCCGTGTTGGTGTATTTGTTGCGGTGGTCATCAGGTGCGTCGCTTGTCAAATCAGCTCGAGGGGGTGGATCGGCTGCTGGCGCTCGAGGAGGCCCGCCAGGTCGACGGGTCCATGCAGACGGATCCCTCCGTCAGCCACACAGCATCGCAGACCGCACACGACACCCAGGACGGCTTCGAGTGCCCCTGCCAGCAGCCAGCCAGGCAGCATGCAGCCGTCGGCGTGAATACCGACGGCATCGAATGGACTCCTGTACCGACGCAACGAAAGAGACGGCGCGATGAGGAGGACCAAGAGGAGGAAGACAGCGACTATCTCGGCGATGGCGAGTCCTCTGAAGGTGCCCCCAGCTGTGCCGCGAGCGTCACGGATGACAGTAAGTACCAGCCGTCTCGTGACCCAGCCCGTGAGGCGAGGGCGGTCTTCCGTGAGCTAAAGAGGGAGGGCGGGGCAGAGCTGCCGGCTGGGCTAACAGGCGATTGTGAGGTGATGGGTTGCGTCGAGGCACTCGTCTTCGACGACGATGACGATGCTGCTAGCGATGATGCGGCCGACAGTGCGACAGAGGATGCGGCCGATAGCGTGATGGATGAGGAAATGCTCCTGGCGACTGGGGTGGTCGAGGAGGAAGAAGTGGAAGAGCCCCCGACGAGCAACGACCAACTAAAGCCCATCGATCCACAGCACAGGTCAGTCAGCACAAGAGAGAGAAAGGCGTCGAGTGCATGTGGCGGTGTGGAGAGCTTCCTGTGGTTGTCGTCTTTGTCAGGCCGTGTTCAGTGCGTGTCGACGCTGGGGCCACACAAATGCGACACCACCGACTCGATTGCGACACATCGGCGGCGGCAGCAGCAGCTGAGTGTGTCGTCAGCGCCGCTGTTGAGGACCATCGTGCTGCCAAGATGGCGAGGTCACAAGCGATCCTGATGCAGCATGCGGGTGCCGGCTGGGAGTGATGGTGCTAGCACTGTATGTGTGTTTCGTGTACAAAGCGGTGGGTGCGGTGCATGTGGATACGTGAGATGCTTGTGTGGTGGTGTGTGGGTGGATTTGGTTTATGTATGTATTGGCAAACGAAACGGGTAGATGTTTGAGAGACAGACAGCAGCATGGCGTGGGGTGTGGGGTGTGGGGGGGCTGATGAAATGACCTGTCATGTGTGTGTGAATGTGTTAATGTCAACGAACGTATTGCACGGCTGGGTGTTGACATTAACATGGCCCCACACACATATGGATGGACACACCACAGCTCAGCTATGGATGTCTCTGTCGCTCTGTGTGTGTGTGTGTGTGTGAGATATGTGCAACAGGTCCGTCGATCAGTTTGTGTTCGGATCTGCAACCCATCGCCCTAAACCCTGACCCTAACCCACACCTTCTTTTTTGGGGCCCAAACCCGCCCATCAATTCGGACACGATGAGGGAAGAGAGGTGCCATTGCAATGGCAACCCTCAAGCCTCCGGCGGCACGAGGCGGACAGCAACACCGGCCCCGTCAGACGCGCCAGCGAAGGAGCGGTGGAGGTCAACACGATGGAGGCGAGTGTCGCTGAAGCCTCATGCCACAGCTGCAGTCGGTGCGGCCGTGGTTGCCAGCACCCTGGCAGTGCTATCATCGCCACATCATGTGTGGGGACTGAGCAGAGGTGTGCATTCACGTTGCAAGCATATCGGTAGACGCACACAGACAGACGATTTGCAATGTGGGTGATGGCTGCTGCAGGTGAGCATCGGATAGGCGGGAGAAGAGGTGTGAGGGATGCAGAGGATGGCGTGTCTTTCGTTGACGCTTTTGATGGGCCTTCTCCACCAGGGGACTTTCGAAGAACCCAGTCTACATTTGCACAAGCGCTGCACCGCCTTGACTCATCGCTGTCGGCAGCAGCTGCCATCAGCCGCCATCTTCCCCACAGCTCCCGGCGGATGGGTGGCCGCAACGTCTCATCACTGGTCCAGCTGGACCAGACGACACGAGAAGTGGAGCTGAGAAAAGGCGCGGCCCACGATTGGCCGACGCTTCATGTGGATAACGTCGATTTCACTGAGGCTTTCAAGATCCTGACTATTCAGGGCATGACGTTTATCGCAGCTCGTGAGCTGCTCAAGGTCAACCAGGAGACCAAGGAGGTGCAGCGATGGAAAGACGCTCTGACATCGAAAAGAGTGGACACGGGCCTGGTGCCCCTCCCGGACCATGAGGCACCCGTCTACTCCGAAGGGTATGGATGCATCACTCATGCACAGCGACCCACTCACCACTCTCGTGAATGTATGCAGCTTTGGCGTTCGTTTCTCGGGTGGTGATAGCGGCAACAGCGGGCCATTCCTGGTCACCGAAGAATCGTCATTTTACGTCGGCAAGAACCTACAGATTCTTGAGCCGGGCTTTACCGTCTTCCTCTATCTGAACTTTGCACAAGAGGGTATGAATAGGGAGACCATTCTCTTCGACAGCCAAACAGGTGGGGCAGGAGCACGGAGACATGGATGAGCGGGGCACCTGCAATCCGTCCTGCTGGTGCTCGCACTGATGCAGGGTTCAAAATCTTCACTGCTCCCGATCCAAAGAAACGTATCGGCCACATGCTGTTTGGTGTCTTGATCGGCAAGACGGAAGGGACCAAGCAGCAGCGCATCTTCGTGGAGGCGTGCTGGGGGAGGCCGACTCTCTACACTGTGGCCATCAACCCCCACTCCACAGGACGACTCAAGGTAGGCAGGCCGATACACACACGCCCACAAAGAGATCGTTTCATTTCTTCTGTGGCCTGTCTGCCTGCGCATGCACAGGTGACTATACTACGTGAGAAGGACGACTTGTTGGGCCCTCAGGGTCTGGTCAACCTCGACGAGACCGACGCTGAGCTGTCCAAGCCAGGGCGCTTCTACATCGGAGCCGATGAGCAGGGCTCCCACTGCTTTCACGGTTCTCTGCAGGTGATGGTGGTGCAATTTCGCGGCTTCAGCAAAACCCAACTTGTGCAAGCCATTGACGAGATCGAGCAGACAATCTTGGGTACGGATGCTGATCAATGGGGACACACATGGATGGATCCATGCGTCGCTTCTTGCAGTTCGAAAGGATGTGTGCGGTGATGGTGTCGTGGGTGGCATGGAGGAGTGCGACGGAGACGACAACTGCTCATGCAACTGCCAAAGTGCGATAGAACACGTTTCACGTGTATGCGTGTTGTTCTCACACCGCACGCCTCCCTGCCTGTTTGCAGAGATGTGTCCCCCCTGGCCCCAGTACGAGGGTAAACACAAGTTCCTCGACAAGCACCTCAAGCTCGTGGCCGGCGCGGGGTCCACTGGCCGCGAGGTGGGCGACTACCGCTACATCGAGTGCCAGCAGGGATTCACGTCGGCATTCCGCTTCCTTCATAAAGAGACCATCACGTGTGAGGAGGGCGGCAACTGGGCACACCCCCTGCTCACGTGCCAGCGGAACTGCCCCACCAAATTCAGTGATGCCGACCCCCGCAACCATCAATATTTGGTGGCGGGGCCGACGGAGGAGAGGCGGCATGGGACGCACCTGACTGTGAGCTGCAAGGCTCGGTTTACAACAGCTGAGGGGGTGCCTGACAAGCCGCGGGTCGTCAAGTGCCTCAATGGACACTGGACCAACCCTGGACTGCAGTGCTTCGGTACGGTACAGACACACACCAGATTAGCCAGCTCACAGTGCACGAATCGTGTCCACTGCAGCTGACTGTCCCGAGTACGCCGATCTTGGCCAGAATCTCTATCGAGTGGAACCTGAGCGGGGCAAGGGGCCGCTGCGGCATGGCTCCATCCGCAACATCACCTGCGTTCCCCCGGCTGTTCCCAGCGGCAACTCGTCTTACGCCATTGTCTACTGCCTGCACGGACGATGGCAAACCAGACAATTCAGCTGCGAAAGTGAGTGACCGACAGACAGCACTGGATTGCCATCTTCATCCATGAGTGTACGTGTGTATGCTGCAGTGCGCTGCCGCACCTACGGGCGTCCGCCGCCGCCCTACCGCATTGTGCGGACGTCCAAGAGTGACTTCTCTGTGAAGCCCCCCAAGCACAACCTGATGGAGCTGACGTACAACGGCGACTGGATCGACGTCGGTTGCAACCCCGACGAGAGCGCACCGGCCTGCCGCAATGAGGGCAAGAACTGCTCGGGCGACCCCACACGCATCTGGTGTCTCGGCGGCATGTGGACACAAAACAATCTGCAGTGCCTCTGTGAGCTGCCTGCCCGACACAGACAGACAGGATGAGCTCCAACCAATCGATGTGTCTTACGTTGTGTTGTGTGGTCGGCCTGGGCTGCTTCAGACAATTGCCCGCCATTTGAGGAGTTCCCTTTAATGAACACCAAGGGCCACAGCGGGCTGCCCGACCGCTACCGCCTCCAATTCGGCGGCAACAAACACGGCGACTTCTCCAAACTGTTCTGCAATAACGGCTACTCGTCGGCCACAGCGGGCATGGAGTTTCAGACCATCAAGTGCTGGAATGGCACATACGATACTGTCGGCCTCGATTGCCGCGCCGACTGCGCAACGCCTCCCCGGCTGCCGGAAAAGGGCTACAGACTCACCGGGACTGGCATACGACATAACGACAAACGGGTGCTGGAGTGTGATGCCAGCGCTGGATACGCCAGTATATCTGAGGTCAAGTTGGAGAACATCACCTGCATCGACGGCATCTTCACGGGCCGGACGCTGCAGTGTCGCCAGGAATGCCCGAAGGGCTACCTTGTGTACCTCATTGCAACCGGATACAAGCTGCAGAGGCTCAGCCGCCTACATCCGCCGGCCAACGCCAGCGAGACGGAGGCTGGCGGGAACGCCACTGAGCTATCGGGTGGGGGCGACCAGACGTTGGCCAGCCAGTTATCCGAGGCAGAGACCGGCTTGAAGAAGCATGCCGACATTGACGAAACGAAATACGACATGGTCAACCTGACGGTCAGCAATCTCCCTCTCACATTGCGCCCAAACACAGAAATATCGGCGAGGTAAACGAAGAGCTTTCCAATACAGGAGACACAGGAGACAAGGCACCTGACCCCACTTTGTTGGCGCATGCAGGTGCGACATCGAAGCGGGTTATTCGCCAGCTGATTTGACGCCAACGTCAAGCGACGAGGCCATCCAGACGAGGGAGCCAGTGCGCGTCATCTGTCTCGGCAGCGACGATCCCATGCTAGCGTTCTCGAAGCTCAGCCTGGAATGTGCTGGTCAGTATGCTGTGATCATCCCGTCCAAAGGATAGATACCACCCACATGTGTGTGATGCTGTGCAGCATCGTGTGACACTGCCCCGCTGAGGAAGCTCAACGAGGTGCCCAACTACCAGATGGTGTGGTCCTTCCGATGGGGCGATCGCCGCGAGGTTGGCAAACTGTACAGCCCACAGGACATCCTGGAAGGGGCCCTGCCGCCCCGCATGTACCACAACGCCATCGTGAGGATGTCGTGTTCAGAGGGCTACGCGTCTCGCACGCTCAACGCCACGGGCTATCCTGGCTCCGACCGCGACCGTCTCGAGTGTATTAAGGGCAACTGGACCAAGAGAACCCTCACGTGCGCGGCGGCGTGCCCCGACTATCCCGAGCTGCCGGCACAGTACAAAGTGGAGGCCTTCCCCGAAGCGGGGGCCAAGTTCCACGGGGCAAAGCGGTGGATTCGATGCGATCCCGAGCTGTCGTCGTCGACCACTGACATGCAGCAAGATGAGGTGACGTGTGACATGTGTCAACGGCTTCTGGACTCAGAAGAGCATCGTCTGCAAAAGTCAGTGAGACATACGTACACGCGAGCCGGCCAGCGGAGGCACGATTACATTGTCATTTGTTGCCTTGTTGTCGATGCATCCGTGCAGATCAGTGTCCCGAGATCAAAACCGTCGATGTTGAGCGGTACCAGCTGAACCAGACGAGGGCAACGGTGACACGGTGACGCAGAAGAAGCGCGGCCATGGCGCCACGTACATGATTCAGTGTGCCAAGAACTACTACGCGGCCTCGGGTGAAGATCCCGACTACATCAAGTGCAACGACGGGAAATGGAGTGCCTTCCTTCTCGTCTGCATGGGTGAGGACTGCCACTCGATTGCGTCAGTCCTTGATGTCTCCACCTTGATGTGTCCAGAAAACTGCAAGGGCCTGCCTCGGTACGAGTTTCGTTATGTGGCGACCCCGATAGAATCCCCGTCGGGCACCGCCCCGGTGTATCGACACAACGCCCGGTTCAACGTGACCTGCGCCCCAGGGTTCGGCCGCATCGAGGGCCCTGCGGAGGGGTGGGAGGTCATCAAATGCATCGACGGCGGATATGTCCAGAAGACACTCAGATGCGGGAGTAAGTCAGCCAATCGAAACGATCTATGACGCAAGAGCCACATGGGTGTTTCGTTCATCAATCAGAGGACTGTGAGGGCGAGTTTCCCTACAAAGAGGGCTACATCTTCTCCGCTCCCGCCGGCCACATGCCTTACTACTACGACCAGCCTCCATGGGAGTCCCGCAACGCATCCGCGAACGCGTCCACGCCCACCGGCTTCATTGGCCAGCAGCAGCAACTCACGCCCATCGCGTGGGGGCCCAACATGATACAGAAGGGGGCAACTGACAAGTGTGTCAGCCACAGTGGCGCTCGAAGCAGCAGCACAACGACTGTGTCACCCCAACTCGAGTGCGCGCTAGACGGTGCGTCGCAGCTGAGCGCTGCGGATGAGACACTACCATGGCCCCAGCACCCTCCACACAGCTTCTTCGAGCACGCGAGAGAGCTGCATGTCATATGGCTGGACCAGCCTTCACAGAGGGGCCTTAGTACCGGACAAACTCCAAGCCACAGTACGAACGATACACGAAGAACAAAGCAACGAGCAGCTTCCCGGTTGATGTCTCTGTCATTCAGTGAGGAATGTGGCAGTGAAGAGGCATGCATATCAGAGCAGCACACAGAAAGAGGCGAGTGCCAGTCGAGCTGTGGATGGCAACCGCAACACGGACTTCAGAAGCGAATCATGGTACGAATGCCGCCTTGAGGTGATGAGATAGAGCTGACTCACTGACTCAAACAAACACGCCACTCGAATGAATCAATCCCCTGTGGTGCACTGTGGTATGTCTCTTTGACTGCAGTGCTGAGACCGACCCGAACTGGCCAGAGGCTAATCCATGGTGGGTGAGCGGCTGCTGGCCAATCAATCCGTGCTATTTCTTGACACCTGCCGTCTGCCAGGTGGTATGTGGACCTAAACGAGACAAATGACGTCAACAACGTCGTCATATACGCCGACAGTGTCAAGTTCCGCGAGTAAGCCAGACGGACTTATACCCAGGCAGTCAGTCGTCAACCGAAAGGAATGCGACTTCATATTCGCATCTCGCCACCAATGCTTTGTGTCTGTCTGTGGTCAGTCTGATTGGTGCTATGGTGTACGTGGGCATGTCGTCTGTGCACTACAGCAACAACACCCTCTGCGGCACCGTGCACGAGAACACCACGGCCGTCATTGGCCTCACGTGCAACACGACTGTGTCAGGGCGGTATGTGTGGATCGTCAACGGCTTGGGGGGACAGCAGCAAAGCAACTCATTCTGTGTGAGGTCGAGGCATATGCGGGTACGTCAGCAGGCAGACAAAGATACACGTGTGCATTTCACGTCGATGCTGCTCACATCATTGCCTGGATTCTGTCTCTTGCAGGTGGCCGATCGAGTATGTCGCTGGCCGTCAAGCAAATAGAGGCACTATAAACCGCAGCTGCATCCATTCGATCTTTCCCGCTGTGCTCTCTTCATCAGATTTGGCAAGTGGCAAGACAGCCTTTCAGGAGCCGCACACCGACCGCGGCCAGGACTGGTCGCCACAGCATGCCATCGACGGCGATTATACAACGATCGACGAGGGTGGCTCGTGCGCACACACATCAGACCTTCAACCATCTGACGCCCCGTGGTGGGCCGTCGACCTGGGAGACGAACGAACTATCGACGTCGTCCGTGTCTTCACACGAGACCCCACAACCAAGTGGAATGAGAGGTGAGTGACGGATGATTGGCGAAAGAGCAAGGAGTGGATGGGGGGACGGATGGAAGGACAAATGCTTGCTGTTCTGCAGGCTGTGGGGCGTCCAGGTGCGCATTGGTCCGTCGCGCAACTGGAAAGACAACGACTTGTGCGGGTCGCTGCCCAGTCCAATGGCCAACAGCAGCGCGCAACAGATGTGGTACGACATCGGATGTGACATGCAGGGCCAGTTTGTGTTCCTGGTGGGCGGCAAGGAGCAGACGGCCAACGACATGAACGATGGCATCCTCGATGTCTGCGAAGTGGAAGTCTACGGTCAGGGAAGCACTATGACAATCAAAATACATCGACGGGTCTATTTGTGTGTGATTCAAGCGTTCCATGATTGATGCATGAGTTCAGGTCCGTGCGGCGATGGCTACTTGGCACCGATTGCTTATGAGGAGGTAAGCATGCCAGACGAGAGAGGAGAATGTGTCCTGTTGTCATGATATCTGCATTGATGATGCGACCGCAGTGTGACGACAAGAACGTTTTGTCGGACGACGGCTGCTCGTACGACTGCAAGGTGGAACCGGGCTGGTTCTGCACCAACCCTCGAGGACTCGACAAGCCATCTGTCTGCATGAGTGAGTCATGCACACAGACACAAGAAGACATGCCACGGGTTGGTCCATCCATTTGGCAGGGACAGGGGTTGCCGATCAGACGATCCCTTCTCCCATCTCTTTCCTGCAAGCCGATCCGGCGGTCAAGACGAACAGCTTGGGGGTAAGCTGTCCACTCGCCAAGGAGTGAATACGAGCCAGCCAATATCCGTGTGGACAGAGACCGGTTCCGGGCGATTGCGTCCCTGACGCCACTCGGCACAAGCAGTGCCAGGACGACTGCGCCAAGATCGGCGGCATTCTGTCGTCCGTCGAGGCACATCCCAACGCATGCTGTCCGAAGGCCTGCGGCACGTGTGGTGGGGAAGACTGTTACGACAGGCCAGGTCGGTACGACTGCTGTGCGGGATCAATTGAAGACAAAGAGGACATGTGCGAGGCCACGGACAAGCCGCCCTGCCTAATTGAGGGCGACACCCATATCCGGCTATCCACAACACCTCAACCCACGAAAGAACCTGAGGGCGAGACCAAACAGCCAGTTGAGAGACCAGGTGAGAAGAAGCAGAGAAGGCATGATGAGCTTGGCTGTTCCTGCTTCTCTGACCTCTTCAGTCAGCCCAGTCCAGGTCGGCGTCACCAAAACTGATAAGAGAGATTGGGTGACCGTCAAGACTTCCTCCTTCCCCAACCCAGTATGTCTAGCGGCTGCATACAGACCCATGTTTGAATGACCCCATCAATGGTTGGTTGGTTAATCTTCTGGCTGCAGGTTGTAATTGGCGGATTGCCTGACATGCGTGGTCCTGACGAGGCCGTTGTACGGATCAGAAACGTCAAGCCGGGCTCTTTTGAGTTGAAGCTCGACGAGCCAGCGCCCTGCAGCGACCAAATCCACGGAGAGACGCCCATCGACTGGATGGTAGTGGAAGCCGGCGTGTACCCCCTCGACACGGAAATGGGTCTCACAGTGGCCGCCGGCACCGTGCCAGTGGCTGGAGACAAGAAGTTTGTGCAAGTCGCCTTCCCTCCTGAGGCCTCATTCACCGACGCGCCCATACTCCTCGTTCAAGTGGGTGAAGGGAAAAGGGGGCCAGACAATTTAAAAGGTCTAAAGCTGTTATATGTGCACATGCAGGTCCAGAGCTACACGAGTGGTCGCGTATTTGTGAAGCAGCGTGTTAAGGGCCTCAGCTCCAGTGGTTTTGAGGTGGCTCTCGAGACGCAGGGGGAATCACTGGCAGACCCCAAGAACGAAGCCAACTTCGGGCAGGAGGTCCTTGGCTGGGTGGCCTTCTCATATCCGCAGAAGGGCGTGCTGGAGGTCAAAGAACTGAAGGCAGCGATCATTGCAGGCATCACGGTATGTGACTCGCAGAGAATGTGTGCTTGCATTTTCCTTTCTCTGCTCATCCATCCATCCCTTCAGCCTGCGGAGGTGGATGAAAAGCCTTACAAGATCAACTTCGGCGCCAGCATGCCGGACGCGCACTTATTCGCGTCGATCGTCACCTACAATGGATGGGACGCTGCACGTATGCGCATACACACGTATAGGCGTCTTGCCACCTGACCCACGCACACACACATGGGGCGCATTGCTGATTTGTTGCAGAGCTGCGTGTTGCCAAGCAGGATGAGCAGGGTGCGGAGATATTCATCCAGGAGGAGACATGCAGCCCATTGTAATCGACCGACCAACCACAGATAGAGCCACATGTCGCCGCTTCACCGTAATTGTCTGTTTGTGTTCTTGCTCATTCAGGGTCCTTCCACACCCGAACAGGGAGAAGGTTTCGTGGATGGTGAGGCCGAAGTGGTCAGGATACTATATACACCAAGATGTCGGGTGAACTTCTGTCCATGCAGGCCATGGGCGCCCTGGAGTCGACTCCCCTTACCACAACACAGACGCCAACAACACAAGTGCCCACGACTACTGCCCCACCTGCCGCGACGACTCAGGCGCCATCTTTTGAAACACCGCAGCAAGAAGGGCAGCCGCCCACCACACAAGCCCCTGGAGAAGAACAAGCCGAGAATGAGGGCAACCAAACCTCTCCGACGGGGCCACCAGAAGCTGGTGCTCCCGCCAATGAAACTGCGGCACCGCCCGAGGAGGTGCCCGAGGGCACGCATCCATTCAACAAGACCGAAGAAGAGGAGAAGCTCGACGAGAGAAAACAAGAGCTTGAGGCCAACGAATCAGAAGAAGGCGCAGAGTCCGAAAAGACAGCCAAGAAGCCTGAGAACGAGACCGCAGCAGTTGCGCCGCCACACGTGCTGCCATCCGAATGCCAGCGCAGCCCCCGGCTGCACAAGGCGTGCATCGAGGCATGTGAGGACATCGGTGGGCTGCTGTCCCAAAGTGCGCCGAATCCCAATGCGTGCTGCCCCAAGACATGCGGCACGTGCGGCAGCAACGACTGTGAGAAGCGCCGAGGCGGTCCCGACAGCTGCTGCCCTGCTAAGATTGTGGCCGCAGGCAAGATATGCGGGCAGGACACCGACAAGCCGCCGTGTCTCATTGCTGTCGAAGGCGCGTCAGCCAATGAGACAACGGGCGAGCGCAACAGGACAGACCTCGAGGGAAAGCCTGAAATTGAACCCCCCAAGGAGCCTGTCTGGTTATTCGACTACGCCCGTGCCAGTCATGACCCGGGCCCGCTGATTCCCGATGGGACCATTCGCAAGGTGCAGTGCCGCCAGTCGGTCGGCTATCGGACATACCAGGGCATGGAACCCGAAGCGCAGATCACGTGCATTGACGGCGTGTGGACATTCCTCCCCCTCATGTGCAAAAGTAAGTGGCTGAGATACGCCAGTAGACGAGACAGAAGGTCACTTTCTCTCTGTGTGTGTATGTGTGCTTTTCAGGGGACTGTCCTCTTCTGTATTTGGCAAAGAATGAGAATGATCCGGGCCCAGGAGACGACACGGTGTACATCCCTTACCAGTTCGAGCTCAAAGACCCAGCACAAAGCATGAAGTACGTCAAGACGGGTGATTCCGATCAGGAGCTGCCCGTCCACGGCGTGTCCATCACACTGAGGTGCCGTGACAGCGACATTCCCGGCCAGGCCTGGCACGCCGTCGTGGGCGTCGACGGGCCAAACGCTGGCGTGGATGACGCCTTCGGGAGAATGAAGTGCGTCAATGGGGAATGGTCGGCAATCACTCTCGTCTGCGCAAGTGAGGTCACACTTGCAAGAGAGAGAGATTCACCTCAAGTTCACTTGTTGGGTCTCTCTCTCATTGGTTGACGCACGCAGAGGAGTGCTCCAAGACGGATTTCCTGGAGCTGGTCCCAGCCAACGCATGGGCGATGAGCGGTCTCATGACTGACGCGACGGCCCTGCCACCCGAGGGCGGCCTCTGGGACAGCGCACTGGCCGAGACGTTCCTGCACGGCAGCATCCTAAGCATCGCCTGCAACACGGACTCGTCGCCCGTGTACAAGTGCACAACCGCCGAGGGGCTCGAGTCGGGCGAGAACGTCACGGAGGTGGTGGTGCCTGAGGCGAAGAAACCTCCCAACACAGTCCTGACCAATGAGACCATCGTCTGCAAGAACGGCACCTTCACGCCAACCACCATGAGATGCGAACGTGAGCAGAAGACACACTCTTGGACGTAATGTCTCTCTCGCTCTGTGTGTCTGTGGGCAGGGATGTGTGAGCTTCTGCCACTCGAGAAGCGTGTACAGCAGTCCAACGGGTACCTGGTCAAGACGCTGATCGACCCCTACTACCTGGCGAGGGCAAGCTGCCGAGCGGGGGCTGTGCGGCCATCCTGTGCGGACGGGCATCCACTGCCCGACAGACCTACCACATCAAGAAGACCAAGACGCCGAGCCTCGTCTACTGCGTCAACGGAAACTTCTCCGCCATCGAACTCTCATGCAAACGTATGTACGCGTCACTTCATTGGCCTGCCTGCTCACGGCAACACGTACACTGTTTGCGTATCTTTCATATTCTGTTGGCGTGCATCCATATATCCATCCATCCATACAGAGGAATGCGGCGAGTTGCCCGTGTCGGACGTGCGCTACATCGCCCTGCAGCACAACGGCCTGGCGCCCGGCAGCACCACTCCCCCTGATGTGCCCATCCGGCTAGAATGCCAGCCTGGCTACTCGCCATCCGTGGGCAGCGCCCTCGCCCTTCAGGGCAAGCACTCGGTCGGGATGGGTATCAGCCAGGCCTTTGAGGAGATCCTCTGTGAGGACGGCGCCTGGTCGCAAGTCACGCTCGACTGCCGAGGTGTGCCTGTATGCACGAGAACACGGCCCAATCAATCTGTCTTCTTTCTTTTTCTGGGTTGTGCTTGCGGCGTCCGTCCGTCCTTCAGCCGATTGTGGCGAGCCGCCCTTGCTGACTCCTGCCGAGGCGTACGACGTACGTGGTGAGGGCGTGACGCATGGGTCTTTCCGCGACATCCAGTGCGCCGAGGGCTACACACCAGGCGTCAAGGGCACCGCAGCCGCCACCACCATACACTGCCATGACGGACAGTGGACCATGAACCGCATCGTCTGCTACAGTGAGTGAAGTCTAGTGTGTGTTTGTGAGCAGTCATGGCTTTCGTCTGACATCTCGGACGGATGCGCGTGTCATGTCCTCCAGAAAACTGCCCCGAGTATGGCACGTCGGTGCCCATGGACAATACCAGGATGAAGTGGAGTTATGAGACTTCATGTAAGGCCGACAGACAGACAGACACAAGATAATCTAACGTTGTGAGTGTGTGCCAGTGCGGATACAACGGAAGGTCGAAGGCGCTGCTCAAGAACAAGAGAGCGACGGCACTGCAGCTGGATCGGCAGCCAATGCAACCCAGTTCATAGACCAAGGCAACGACAACGCTACCACAAACAACACACACGGGAGTGGTGCTGCTGCCAATGAGTCGGAAATCGACGAGATGGCCCACGGCAGCCTGGTTCGTGTGTGGTGCGACCCTGATGGCGGCTACTACCACCACCGTGATCCCCAGGCCTTCATGCACCTCATATGCTTCGACGGCGAGCACACGCGACCCGACCCACTGCTCTCACTCGTACTGCCACTCGAATGCAGAAGTGAGCGAGACACGACCACCAGCGCCCTGTCTCTCGCCCACCAGCATGATTGCGTGTGTTGTGTTGGTTTGTTAGGGGCGTGTGACAGGACCCCCGAAGAGACATACGGCATGACGGCCGAGAATGGCTACCGCACACTGGATGAGGAGACCTCGACGTCTGAGTCCACCATGTACCACGGCACCCTGCGCAAGATCGGGTGCCTCACCAGCACCCACACCGCCGAAGTCAACTTCGACGCCAAGAGCAGTGGGGCGGACAAGTGGCCGGGTGAGATGATCGAGACGGCCGCCCACGACGAGGCGGGCCAGTGGGACCCAATTGATGTGCTTGAATGCGACGACGGCGAATGGGTCGACCGCAATCTCCAATGCTGGAGTGAGCGAGCAAGCAAGGGAGGACCCACAGCAACAAGACGGCATACTCATCTCTGTTTGTTTGTCTGTCTACCTGTCTGATTCCTTGATCAGGGAAGTGTCCCGAGTACAAGCCGCCCAACCCAGAAAGGTATCAGGTGTTGGTGCCCGAGGGGGAGACCATCCCCTTCAAGAAGTTCCCGACTGTCGCACACGGCACTAGGAGACAGATACAGTGCAATGCCAAAAGGCAAGCTGCCGACGAACCGACCCACACCGACACCCACACACACACACACAGGCAGACAAACAAGGGGGACCGGTTGGCTGTGGTGCGGTGGCAGGATTACGAGCGGCACTTTGAAGGGCTTCCGGTCGGGTTTCTACAGCCCTCAGATGATGCTGCAGTTCGGCCCTTTGTTCCTCGACAAGAAGATCGGCGAGAAGGCACAGATGGTGGAATGCAAAGACGGCGAGTTCGACACGACCACACTCGACTGCCAAAGTACCTAGCTGAGTGGCGCCTTTCCTTCGTGTGACTGACTGGCGCAAACGGCACTTTGGCTGCCTGGCTATATCCGCGTGTGTGTGCAGAGATGTGTCCATCGATTGGCGACAAAATGCAGGAGCTGTGTAGGGACTTCTACCTGCAATTGGGGCCGGCAGACCAAGACGAGATGGGGCCGTGTAAGGGCAAAGGGGGCAAGGCGAAGAATGACTGCATCAATGCACGCTGCAAGGACCTCAAGGCGGCCCATACGCCTTATCGGATCATCAAGTCGCTCATCGACCCCGACACCGCCACCACGAAGATCGTCGGCGACCCTGACCCGACCAAGATGGACACTTTCCCACACTTCTCGAGAAAGGTAACGCACCCAGCCGGGAGCATCCACCGACCGCACTCGGCTTTCGTGGAATCTTGTGTCGTGTCTGTGTGTCGATCAATTGATGTGTGTTGCAGCCTGCCGACGTGCACCTGGTGATATGTGACGAGTCCAAGGGTTATGCGCCAACACACAGGGCCGTGGTGGATCTGTCCGACCCCGAACATGACCCCTTCGCCTCCAGCATCGTGGGCGCAATCGATTGCTATGACGGGCAGTGGTCAGACCTACCATTCAGATGCAAAAGTAACCAAGCAACCAGAGAGAGCACTAGCAGCACATATGGGCAGTGCATGTGTGTGCCGATCGGAGATGCTCTCTATGGGCGTGTGTCTTCCTCATCAGAGGGCTGCAAGGGTCCGTTCGATTCGGAGCAGACGTCCAACATCAAGACCGTCATCATGGGGGGCGAAGTCGATATCACCACAGTCGGTGGTGAGGCAGTCTGGTTCAAGAAAATGGCGGCGCTGCAGATCGACGGCGCAATCGCCCACAATTTCACCGGCGGGCCCTTCGACGACACACTCGACGATCAGGATTACTATTACTATCCTTCGGCTGACGTCGTCGACGTGCATGACCTAATGGATGCCCTGGACACAGATGAGCTGTCATGGCGCAATCAGACATCCAACGACGCGACGGTCCCCTCCTCGTTCCGCGAGGCCCTCTCGGCGTTGCAGGACAAGTCTTCATCAAGCAGAAGGAGATACAGTTCGTGCAGTTGCGACGCAGAGAAAAAGACGCTGATGAGCCTCGATAGCGAGATCAGCCGTTTTAGGACGGACATCCAACGCCTCAAAGACCAGGCCAAGAAATCGCGTGAGGAGCGGGAGAAGATCGAGAGGGAAAGGGCGCGGCGGGCCGGGGCCGAACAACACAAGGGGCAGTTCGGTGTCCCGTACAGCACAGCGGAGCTGAAGTCAGCGCGCAAGTACACGGGGCCCCTCAACACCCGCATGTGGCGACGTCTCAAGAAGGACTACTTCGGCATGGACTACGTCATCAACAAGAATTCAAAGACCACGAAAAGCTTCATCCAAGAGGAGAGCACTGAGGAGACCCTGACGCACCAACAACAACAACAGAAGGCCGACCCGAGGACCTTTCTGCAGACCGAGCACACACAGACACAGACCCTCACTCAGCCCTACCCAGCCCGTATAAGGTGCAGGAGGAGATACGGCCAAAGGAAGGTATGCAATGAGTGCTGCCCCGAGCGCTACAAAGCCCAGATCGCTCAAAAAAGGGGAGCAAAGGAGTCTTTGTCGGCGGAAAAGGCCACGGTGGTGAAAAAGGCTCAGGAAGCGGCGGCGGTGCTCAACGCGCTCAAGTCCAAAAGCTGGGGCCTCATCAATGACGGCTTTCATATAATGTGGGGCCCCGGTAAGCACACGACTGACGCAGAGAGGGATACACACGGACGCAGAGCAGAGGACGTGTGTCTCTGCCTTCCTTTTCTTTCGTATGCGATGGGGTGGCTCACTCAGGGTGTTGTGACTTTCGCAACTGTTGGTTGAGGCGTAGCGTTGCCGGAAGGATGAACTACTGCACCAATTGGTACTACGGCGAGGGCACATGGGTGGTGATAGACATTGGTCAGCACGGCGCATCCCCTACGCCGGACGCCCAGGGCATTGAGGTCTACTCCATCTGCTCAGCAGGCCGCTTCACCGACCCAGTCATCCCCAGCACCTATCAGATTAGGCTATGATCCCCCCACATCCAGCCAAGAAGACCACCGAAGGGCGCCCCATTTTCCAACTGACCGACCACAAATTCATTCCCCAAGAGACGATCGAGGAGACATATGCGTCCCAAAAGGCAAAAGTAACAAGTCAGAATTGCATCGACGGCGGCACGTCGGTCCATGTAGCGGGCCGGTCCTCGCCAGTGGCCCTTCGGCACGTCAGAGTGGGCGACCGAGTCCTCTCATGGCGGCCGACATCACGGGGCGGCAAGGGACAGCCCACATATGCCGAGGTCTACTTCAGGCGAAGCTACAGCAAGACATGGGCAAGGGCCACAACGCTTGCGGTCGGCAAGTTCCTTCCCCCTTTGGTGCTGTCGCCCAACCATCGGCTACCGGTCTGCCGGCCGAGAGGTCACAACAGCAGTGTTGCTTTGTCCTGGTCTCGTTATGGGGATGATATTTGTGAGGATATCATTGGTCGACTGGGAGATGCGGGCAGCTATATCCTGAGACATGTGGCGGCTCATGAAGTGTTGGCTGGTGACGTGCTCGTGACGGTTAATCATTCTTCTCTTGTGGCGAGGGGGATGGAGGTCTCTGCAGCGCTGCAGGTAGGTATTCACCCACATGTTCTTACCGAGACATGTATACGTGTCTCTGTGTTTTGTGTCCAGCATCGTGGGTTTGAGCTGGTCCACACGACTACTGGCTACATGCTGGCTGGAGGGGCGGTCGTGACGGACTCCGATGAGCCCCTCGACGAATTTGTGCCGTGGTCATTTATCAACAACCTTGATGCCAGGTACTTACTCGGTTTCCCTATGCGCCACATCAGGCATCCAACGCCACTATGACTGACACCCCCCTCTGCCCGCTCCAGGTTGCTTTATGAGTTGTGGGGTCGTGATGGGGTCGAAGGTGCATGGTTCCAGACCTTCTGGAGGTACTTACGAGCAACAAAGCCACCAAGAGAAACCGAATGGTCAGTCCTTGTTGCTTCTGTGGTGTCTCAGGGCTGTGGCGGCTTACGATGAGGGCATGCAGGCCACTGTCAGAGATGTCCTGCATTCTCTGAGGCCATTTGTTCCCTTTCCTGTCATTTATGCCGTTTCGCTTTCGGCTGCCCTACTGTTTTGGCTTTGCATTTTTGGCATCTTCGCTGTGCCTCTGTTGATAGTTATTGTGGCATGTCGATACACATCTTCCTGCAGGAAATATGTGCGCGACCGCAGGTCGATCGCCATGTGGCTTGCCAAGCTCTTCAGGATTAAGGCCAAGGCTGCATGAGTGCTATGGGCCACTTTATGGGCACTCGCAACACTAGATGCGTCCATGTGCGTGCTTTGGTAATATAGGCTTACCGACCAGTGCCTTCAGTTTGACATTCGAGTATCATCAACCTTGTGCAGGCAGTGTCCCCTTCTCTGTGTGTGTCCAGCCAGTCATGTGTGTGCATCGATTACATGTCTCTGCCGACCCCTCAGACACGCAAGGCATGCAAGCTGGTGTGTGTGGCGGCAATCAGTGAGTGCAGTGACACCCATTCAATATCCCCTCCGCCTGAATGGCTGTGCGTCGAGGAAGACCATTGGCAGCCTAGCAGCACGACCAAAAATACACCATAGCCATCGACCAAAGCGTCCCAAGCGAGTGAGTGAGCTCAGTAGGGCTTCCCTGTGTGGAGCAGACATGACACACAATGAGTTTGCTTTCACATGGTGGCTATACGCAGCTCTCCTTCCGCTCACCGATCAGAGGCTGCATGAGCCATCTCTGCTCAGCCATGTAGCGAGGGTAATGTCCCTGGTACCCCACGACCCCCAGCCTGGGTCCGGACGTCTTGCTCGCTTTGCGTCCTCTGCCTGCCACCGGTTTGGCGCCCCCGCTGCCCTCCTGCAGCCCCAGGATGCCCTTGGCTGTCTGTGTGATGGGAGGGAAGGGCGGGGGCGGCTGGCCCTTGCCCAACAGCTGCATGTGCTTCTCGACGGACTGACGGCTGGCCTTCTGCTGTAGGTATCGCTCACTGGCCAGCTGCTGGGCGACGTTGCGGGTGACTGAGAAGCGGCCGCCCAGTACACCTGGTTCAGACAGGCCCGGGATGTGGCCTACACGAGAGACGAGAGACAGACAGACAGACAGACAATGGGAAACAAGTCTCCGTGTGTCCATCGACAGCCGCAATGCGTACCTGTGTATCCCGCAACTCCAGTAGACAGCCGTCCCACGCTCCTTCTCCGTCTCTCCGAGTCGGGCGGCAGCAGAGACGTCCCCTTGACCGCCAGCCTGTCCAAGGCAGCACTGCCCCCCTTGACACGCCGCTCAAGGACAAGTGCAGCCGCCTCCTTGGTCCGGACAAACGAACTCCCACAGATGTTCTCGGAGGTGACGGCGGGCACGTGGCCTGCATATCCAGTGATGGCGCCTTTCATGATCCTGTCGAGTTTGGGCATGAATGACGATTCGGAATTGGACTTGGCGAGCACCGTCCGCTCGTACTTGGAAAATGGCTTCATTATCTGAGCTGACGGCAGTCCGGCCTTATGGCTGGGTTCCATCGAGGCCGCTGGTGCGGTAGACTCTTCGGGAGCATTGGCAGGCGGCTGGGAGAAGTAGTGTGCGGTTGGATCTTTGATGTCTGGAAGGGCCTGGGCACCATTGGTTGGCGGAGCCCGACACTCGGCAGCGGCTTTGGGTGAATCGGAGGGCTCTTCCCCGGGCTGCATTCTGGCGGACCAATCAAGACTTCATTTCGCACATTGGGGGGAGACTGCGAGCTACGGCCACTGGCAGCTAAGGCCAGCAGGAAATGGATCTTTCTCATCGATGTTGATCTCGAGGCAGGCCCTCGAATCAGGAGAGCAGTGCTCGAACAACTACAGCAGTCAGTGAGGTCCATGGCATTCACACACACGAAACCCACGCACAGAGGAATGGAGTGAATGAACAACAGACACATTTCCCTCTCTCCCTCGTTGCTGTCTGCCTCACGAATTACACACATCGGAAACACACACATCGCTGCGCACATATCACTCGATCACCTCTCTGCACACACGTGTGTGTGACGTCCGTGTCTGTCTGCATCCCTTCATCCATCCCCCATGATTCCTGCAGTCACTGCCGCTGCTGCCTCTCCTCTGGCTATCTAGCTCCCCGTTGCATTGGAAGCAGCTTCTGACAAATCATCTCATCGCCTCGGTTCCATCCATATCCCTCCGCAATCAATCAATCGGTCCGTGCGCTGCGCCACTCCTCTCTCACAACAGAGAACAGTAAAAAGACGGGGGCCATAGACGCGATGCACCCACCCCACCAAGGGAAGGGCTGCATGGCCAACAGTGGCTGACATTACGCCTACACACACGGAGGCAGGCAGGCAGGCAGGCAGGCAGGCAGAGAATGGCGGAAAATTAGGTCGATCTGGATGAAGGCGATCACGCGTCGTATCCCTCCATGTCGACATAGACACCGGAAGGCAGACAGACAGACAGACAGACGGAGAGTCGATGGATTAAAAGGCACATGGTCATTCACTCACTGTGATGAGCATCACATGATTGCACCGATCGATGCAGGCAGGCAGGCAACAAGGCGACATCGATGAACCGCTCCCCCCCCCCCCCCTCCCCTCTCTGCGCGTCCGTGCGCGATGTCACACACACACAAACATTCCGTTTTACCCAAAGAAGAGAGAGAAATCATCCATGGCATAGATAGATAGCATTGGCGTGTAGCGTGTGCACCTCGCCGCGGTGCACTACCTAGCCGCCCTTGCATCTGCACAGGGCCTTAGGTAACCTCACCCGCACATAGACGTACACTCTCACACACACACACACAGATACGTAGCGAGTGGACAGATGGATATGCCTCTCTCCCTCTCCTTCTCCCTCCCCCTCCCCTCCCTCGCCCGACGCATACACAAGACGTTGCTCATCGTTCGTTGCTCACACGAATGAAACAATGAACTCTCTCGCTGTCGCTGCCGCCGTTCGACAGCACACCACACCACACAGTCAATGGTCATAAAAAACGGCACGCCACGCCATCCATCCCTCCATGCATGCAGCCGCCCAGCACACGGCAGCAAGTGCGATCGATCGCCCGCGAGTGTGTTGTTCACTTCCTCTTGGCGCCGCCTGCGTTTGCGGCCCTTGGGTTGTTTGGGTTGAGTGATGGGTAGTCTTCCTCCTCGTCCTCGCCGACATCGCCGTACCGCCACACGTTGACGTGCGACTTGCGGGCCGACTCCTCCTCCTTCTGCAGACGCGCAAACAACTGCAAACCACACACCCACACCACACACCACACACACATGTAGGTGGGCTGAAGGGTGGTGGCTGGCCGACCCGGTCGACCTACCTTGGTGTTGGATTTCTTGTCCAGCCTCGCGAGGCCCTGGCGGACGAGCAGCTCGTTCAGCGACGCAGCGGGCGGACCACCTGCGGGCACAGACAGGGAGGCCGGTGAGAGGTGAAAGGAGGTGTCCCCCCTTGAGGCGTACTGTGGTTGTGTGCCTCCTCCTCGGTGAGGATGACGTGACGCTTGCCCGACTGGTCGATCCTCTCAACCTTACAGACAGACAGACAGGCAGGGGCGGACACACACAAACACACCGCTGCAGCTGACTGACGTGAATGCAACGGTGTGTTGGTACCTTGCAGTGGTAGAGTTTGCTGGCCGTTGAGTTGCTGAGGTACTGCGCCGCGTCCATCTCCATGTCAGGCGGCTCCAGCAATCCTATACTCACACACATACACAAACGCATCCATCCATCCATCCGCACAAGTGACGCCCGTGTCCCCATATGCGTGTGGATATATGTTCATACCTGCGAGAGTGCAGTGTTTGGCTTGGGGCGGTTTGGCGGCCGTGGTCAGGTTCGGTGGGCACCGACACAAACGAGACAACGGCAGACCCTCGCCATTGCCGTAGTCGATATACAGCACCTAACCCCACACACAGTCAAGTCACGCACACACGTTTTCTTGGGTGTGTTGGAAGACCCCGTGTGTGTGCCAGCAGTGCTGTGGTGCTTACCGTGACTTCTTCTGTGAGTGTGTCTCTGCTCTCGACCCTAGCACGGTACCACTGCTGGTCGTCAGTGAATTTGCCGAGGACGATTTCGCCCTTCCTGGGTGGCCCGCCCGCCGAGTACTCATCGCCTGGCTTCATCTCCATCTCTGACAGCTGGCCGATGATTGCCTCCAATGTCTGATGTGCACACACACGCACACACACATACACACACACATACATCTGGGTGTCTGTGGGAGAGGGGCTGGGCGGGAGTGCTCACAGGGTTGTGTGTTTCCTGGATGTAGAAGGAGGTGATTGAGTTGATGTGCACCACAGCGACTGATGTGAGTGTGTCGTCGACCTCCCGGTCCTTCTCGTCCTCGATGCCGTTGGACGCCATGTCGGGCAATGACCACATCTGCACCCACAGAACACCATTACACATACGGCGCTTTGGTGTGGGTGTCGGAGGGGAGGTGTGGGTGGGTACCTTGAGCTTGGCCTGTTTGGCTTTGTTTTCCGCCGCGAGCAGCTCGTCCCGATAAGGCGACTGCTGCACACTGAAACCCACAGTCACGGCGTAACCTAACAAACCACACAGGCGACACCCACACAACACACACCCCGATAAGAGAAAGTATGTGACAAAGCAGCAGACGTGCAAGTGGGGAGGGGGGGAGGGACGTAAGTACCTACCGAGTTCGAGCAGTTCTACGGCCATGTTGATGCTTCTGTTTCTCCACATGGAACCGATGAAGTTGCCGCCCCGGTCACACGCGTCCACACACACCGTCACGTCATGCTGCAGCACATGCTCCCTGACAGACAGACATGCACACATACACACACACAGACAGCACCATGCACGTGTGTGGCGAATTGATGGGAGCAAAATTCGTGGCTGCATACATACCTTGCGAATGCGATCGACTCCTCTGCGAAGGGCTCGTTGTCGCCTTTGGGTTTGCCGCCTGCCACGGTTGGCCGGGCTGTCATCGGACACTTGATGCCTTCACGCACACACGCACGCCCACACACGCACACGTGCCCTTCTTTGGCTGTGTGTGTGTGTTTGCTGTCTGTCTGCCTGTCTGTCTGTCACACCTCCAAGTGAGAAGGAGATGGCGATGTTTTGCGATGGGACCCGCAGCTTGTACCTGCCCGCGTTGAAGACGTGCTCGACGACGGCATCGAACTTGCCCAGACGGACCAACGAATTCTCAAAGGTGCGCGCCTAGGTGACAACCACAGCAGGCATCTGTGTGTGTATGCGGGCGGCCGCCGTTGTGTGTTGCAGACGTGTACCCTGGCGGAGTTCTGCGGCCCCAGGAGGTCGTTGAGGCGATGCTTCGGCGCCTTCTTCTCGTCCCTGTCAACACACACGTCCATCCATTCCATCTCTCTCCCCTCTCTGTTGTGTTATATACTCACCCATGCAGCCCCAGCTTCTTCTCGACTGCCTCCTTCTCCTTCTCTACCAGGATGTCATAGTTGCCGGCGCGGTCGTCATCGGCCCGGTGCGACATGACCCGCGCGTAGCCCGCCGCCACGAGCATCTCGCTGAAGTTGCCGGCCGCCTTGGGGTCCTCGATGATGAGCGACACGTAGTGCATCCGGCCTTGCGCGTCACTCGCCGGCGGCGGGGCCGCACCACTCGCTGCACCCAACCGTCAACACAGACACAGAGAGACAGAGGGAGAGGGATCCACACCTGCGCAGATGGGGCGTGTGTGGTGTGGTATATGCACACGCACCTGATTGAATGGGTTCCCTTGCGTAGTCGACGACGACCTTGACCTTTTTGTTGACGAGTTTCTTGCGCGCGAACTCCTTGGCGTCGAGTGACCATGGCTCGTCCTCCTTGCCGCGGCCGCCGGGGCGGGGGGCCTTGATCGACGCCAAATACAGCCGACGCTCCTGGTGAGTCGTCAGGTCCTGCTCAACAGACAGACAGACAGACAGCGGTAGAGGGAGATACACAGGTGTGTGCGTGTGTGTGTGTTGGCGGGTTGGGTGTTGTGTAGGTTACGATAACAGTGACGCTGTCTGCTGAAGAGATGTCGATGACCTTCGCGGGGTACTCACTGCCGCCCGCTGTGGTGGCACTCCGGTAATTCTGATGATCATGACACACACATACACATACGCCCATACTCGTACAAACCAATGAGCGTCGTGCCCGTTGTCGGCCACCGACCTTCCATTTCCTCATCTTTTTGGTCTGGGCCTCTTTCTGCGCCTCGCGGAGGTGAACCAACGACTCTACACACACATACACACACACACAGACGAAAATACACACATTTCAGGTTCCCCCATGTGTTTCTCTGATCGTGTCCTTACCGGCCATCCGCGCCGAGTAGTCTTGAATTTTGGCGAATCCCTGCTGCAGCAGAACGAGCGAGATGTTGCCGCCCTTGGGGTGCCAGATGGTGCCGTACAAGTTGCCGTACTCGTCCGCACCCTCCACACGCACATCCACATCGCGGTTCAGCACACGCACCTCCACAAAGTACTTGCACTCAGCTGCACACGCACACACGCATCCATCCATCCATCCATCCAGCCATCCAGCCATCCATCCACCGCTGTATGTCCAGTCAGTCGTACCGGCGAATGGTTCGGCCTCGAGTGGCATTTGTTGCGGCGGTCCGCCGCCGCCATTTTCGACGATGGGTTTGTTGTCGCTGCCGAGGGGGGGCGCCGCGCGCTTCCACCCATCAGCCTGAGCACCAGGGGAAGGGGGGGCAACACACCCATGTGTGTGCAGGTCGAGTCGACATTGCCCACCCAAGCCAAGTAGGTAGGTGTGTACCTGTATGCCTGTGAGTATGAGTGGGATGTATATGTTGTCTTGGGTGAAGATGACGCGGTAGGCCCCGCCGTCGCGCACATACTCGACAATCGCCGGCAGGCGCTCACCCCTGCACACACAGAGTCACACACAACACACACATCATGACCCATTCATGTATCTGTCCATGGCTTGGTGTGTGTCTGTCTGTCTGTCATGCGTCTCTTACTTGTGCTTGGCAGCGAACGACTTGACAAAGTCGGCTGCAAAACACCACACACACACACACACACAGAGTACCTACCCATTGCAATGCATGCGCGTGTCCACTTCTTCCCTCTATGTGTGTGTGCGCGCGCGTGTGTGTGTTGGCGTACGGTCGTTTTGTGGGAAGGTAACTTGTCGCATTGTGGCATTTGCCGCGGCCGTGTCGTCTGTCCAGAGGCCTCGCTTGGCCGCCTGGGCCTCCTCCTCGGCAGCCTTCAGCTCTGACCGATCGACACACGCACAACCACACACGCATGTGCTCTCATGTCAAC